AATGCTAGAAGGAAGAGACAAACATTTAAAAAGAAATAGATGCCATTAACAGGACATGGACAGTCAAACACACAGTAACACAGCCGCCATGGGTGTTCTGAGCAGGGCAGAGGGTTTCCCACTTGTTTTAGCTTTATTTTATTAGAAATGTCCAGAATTTATGACCAGTCAAACCATGCTTCTTCTGATCCTTGATTGGGCTGCTTAGCTTTCCTGTCTTGATCAAACAGATGGGTTTGACTGCTAAAGCTGACAGCTCTCAAGTATTTTCTCTCTGGTCTCAAAATATTGGGTGAAAGTTTGACCTATAACATTAGTGTCAGAAGGGTTAGAGATCTCAGAGGATGTTTAGTCCCAAACTCCTTAGACTGGGAGGCCATACAGTAAATGTTGTACACTAACCCTTGAACTTTGGCCAGGTAGCCTTTTTTTTTTGTTTTCATATTAAGAAATGTATACATCAGAGCAGAATGCAAAATAGGTGGAATTTTATTTTATTTATTTATTTATTTAAATCCTCACCTGAGGATTTGTTTCCATTTATTTTCAGATAGACTTGGGATGGGGGGATATTGATGTGAGAGAGACACATGGACTGGTTGTCTCCTGCACAACCCCGACTAGAGCTGGGGACCGAACCGCAACTGAGGTATGTGCCCTTGACCGGAATCGAACCTGAGACTCTGTGGTCCACAGGTCGATGCTCCAAACGCTGAGCCAAACTGGCCAGGGCAAAAGAGGTGTAATTTCAAAGGTAAAACTTAAGTCTTCAAGAAGATTATCTTTGGGAGTGTCACTTGAAGCTGGGCCTTATGACTTTAGGAGACCCTTTTTTCCCTCTGTTCCTAGAAAGACCTGTTTGCATTTGATCATTCTATCACAGCTCAAATAAGAATCACGCCCTGGCCGGTTTGGCTCAGCGGTTAGAGTGTTGGCCTGCGGTCCAGAGAGACCGGGTTCGGTTCCCTCTAAGGGCATGTACCTCGGTTGCAATTTGTCCCTGGCCCTGGTTGGGTCGTGCGGGTGGCAGCCACTCAATGTGTCCCTTTCACATCGATGTTTCTGTCTCTCCCTCCCACTCTATCTGAACAAAAAAATGGAAAAATGTCCTTAGGTGAGGATAAAATTAAAATAAATTAAAAAAAAGAATCACGCCCTAGCCAGTTTGGCTCAACAGTTAGAGTGTTGGCCTACAGACTGAAGGGTCTCGGGTTTGATTTCCCCATCAAGGGCATGTACTTGGGTTGATTGCATGGTTCTATCCCCTGCCTCAGTCGGGTCGTGGTGATGGGGGTGGGGGGCAACCGAAAGATGTGAACAAAAAAGTTCAATAGCTATCCTTTTAAGATTTGGGGGATTGTGTGAGGATATAATGAAACATTGGAATGTGAGTAAACTAGATAGCCATTTTCCAATGAACAGTTAAAGTATAAATGAGAAACCTCAGCATGGCATCAAGAGGAATTTTCTCTTGGTTTTGAAGAAAGCATATCAGTCACTTTTGGATTGTTTTCATAGGTAAACAATGAATTTTGAGTAGTTCCAGATGTGGGAAGAAAAACTGTATGCATTAGTGTAGATGATAATAGCCATCTGGCTCAAGGAACTGTTTCAGGTGGTCTTTGGTTCTCTTTTGCGTGTGTCTGTCATGCATGAGGGGCCTTGAAAATACAGAAAGGCACTTGAGTTAATTCCCTCACTGTAGAGTAATTGTGGTGGATATTATGATTTCTTTGTAACTGAGGCTTTAAAAATTATTTTCATTGTAAATTTTTTTACCACAAAACTTTAGTTTTCTCACCTCTTTAAGATTGGTAATTCAGTAGAAATATGTTGCTATTCCACAGTGTGACCACTGGGGGGAGTATCTTATTTTCATGTTTTGTGTTAAAATCAGAATATAATTTGTGGCATAAAGGTATTGCTATTGAACCAATTCTATTGAACCAACTTCAAATAAGCACATTTCAAGTTAGGAAATTTTAAGTAAATTCTTTCATCTTCATAAAAATGTTTATACCTAGTCTTGTATACTAATGGGATTGGTAGTAGGGGGAAAAAAGGTATATTTTACTACCATCACTAACAGCTGTGGAATCTAAACAAGATTCTGATTCTCTTGACCTAGCATTTTAGTTCTGCTTCCCTAAGCTAGACTTTGGAAAAATTTAAGTCTTAGGAAGAAAGGTTCCAACTTCTACCCACTGTTTTCTAAAAAATGATAATGAAGATGCTATACAAAAGTGAAAAGTAATTTTTCTTGATATTAACCATTATTCTTAGCCTATAAAAAAAATTTTTGACAATATACGGTAGCATTTTTTTTTTTTTGAAAAATCACATGTATGATTAAGAATTGTTGGTTTGATTTTTTTTTTTTCTTTTTTTTATCCTCACCCGAGGACATTTTTCCATTTTTTGTTCAGACAGAGCGGGAGGGAGAGAGAGGAAGAGAGAGAGAGGGAGAAACATCGATGTGAAGGGACACATCGAGTGGCTGCCACCCGCACGACCAACCAGGGCCCGGGACAAACTGCAACCGAGGTACGTGCCCTTAGCGGGAACCGAACCCGGGCCTCTCTGTACCGCAGGCCGACGCTCCAACCACTGAGCCAAACCGGCCAGGGCTGTTGGTTTGATTTTTAACTCTTACTTACCTAGTGAAAAGCCACCACTCAGGTGACAGGCTGGAAGCAGAATGCTGGGTACCAGCTTGAGGGTTAAGTGATCCACCGGTCACTACAGGAGGAAGCTGGAGGTGTGTGCCTCTTGACTAAACAGATGGTTGGAAGATAAGCTCACCCTTCATTGGTCCATGGTGCATGCTCCCTTGCTGTCAGAACATTCTGTGGGTCATTAATCCAAACACTGAGACAATTCCAATACTAGCAGGAAACAGAAGTGGATGGCCTGAGGCCTGCTTGTTGTGTAAAAGGCATTTAAGGCAAGGGTTACCAGAACAGAGGTCATAACCACCAATCTCTGCCCTTCTGGGTCTCACCTTTCTCGTTAGGCCTTTCTTCCTCTTTCCTGTCAGTCTCCACCCCTTTTTCCGCTAGCACTTTTCTCTTGTCTTAACCTGGCATCTTGGGGAAAAAAGGCACTGAACAAGAAATCTGGTGTCAGCTAAGTGGGACTAATTGCCTGACCTCTTTCTGGGCGTCAGTTTCCTTAAATTTAAATAGATGAGGTTTTCTCCATTTTTCTCTTTCCTTGTATCTTCATCCCTCCAACTACTCACCTACTTAAGTTTTCACTTGACATGTTTCCTCATTTCTAAGTTTTATTTCTTCTTTTCCTCCCCCCGTTCCTCACTTTCTCCTTAATTTCCTTTGTTCCCCACCTCTCATTTCTCCTTCCATTTCTTTCCCACTGGCAATACCCCAATATCATTTTTTTCTTACTACTATCTGATGTCAAAGATCCAGAACTGGAGTAGGACATGGAGGAAGAGGTTTAAATTTTTATGTGTTGCATAATATTTAGATATCTCCCCCTCCCCCCCCCCACGTTGCTTCTTTTGAAAGGAGGAATTTGTGTACATGATGCCTATTGAATTAGATTACAAGTGCCTCTGGGCAGGTACTTCATGTACTCCAGGCTCACATTAATATCTTCTGGCCTGGGCAGCAAGCAGTGTAACATATTGAATGTAAGATCAATTTTCCCATTTCTGATTTTGGTGAAATTTGTTTCTTTTGCCATTTAACATTTTTATGTGTATATTAGTGATATATTGCTGCATTAAACATTTACCAGTCCCCATTTATTTGTTCAAACTTTTGGAAATTTTATCTTTTTGTGATGTTTAGAGGTCAAAAAAAGGTTTAATAATGTGAACATCATTAGATGTATGAAGATCAGCTAGTATGTTGTTGATGAATTAACTAAATACTTTTATCATCTTCAGTTATTCATTAATAGAACTTTGGCTGAATGTTCTTTTTTATCCCCCCTTGCTCTCAAGATTGTCTCAGGGCTCTGAAGTAGTATTGTCCAATGGAATATAATGAGAGCCACCTATGTAATTTAAAATTTTCTAGTAATATTAAAAAAGAATAAGAAGAAATCAGATAAAATTAATTTTAAGAATATATCTTATTTAACTCAGTATATCCAAAATATTATCATTTTAACATGTAACCTATACAGTATGTAAAAAATTATGAGATTATGTCACATTCTGTTTTTATTCAAAGTGTGTATTTATACTGACAGTACATATTAATCGTTACTAGCCACACTGTAGATACAACTACATGTGGCTTGTGGCTGTTAGTAATGAAGAGCACAGACCTAGATACTGATAAATAAAATAGTATATTTTAATTGAAAAATTAATACATTTTGTCTGTGTGTTGTGTGTTTTAGGTCTTTTTAAACAGTTCACTTGAAGTTATTCTATGTTGACAATACTGAGAGCTAGAAAGGAAATTCCAAGAATGTTTGAATTTTACAGTGTAGCATTGTCATACTCTTGAAGTTAAATAAATGGTTCATTATTATGCTGAGCAGGCTATTTCTTTTCCAGAGTTGTGAAAATTTGTTGGGTCATACCAATATGACAAAGTAAAAATTTTGGGTAATTGAGTTCTACAAAGCATATATAACCCAGCTAGCTGTCTTTGAGAAGCTCATTGATGCTTACAAATATACATAAACTATTTTCCCTTACATGATTAATTTGTATAAGATTGCTTCTCCGTGTGTATAGTTGTTTTTATTTCTAAAAACAAGGATGTGATTGATTTAGAGAATCATTAACTCAATCCTTGTCCTGTGTGATGGATGCTGCTGTGGCTGTCATGTGATTGGGCAGGACTTGGTACCTATCAGTGTAAACACATGGCACAGCTTGTTCCATGCCCTTTCTTATCTCCTTCAGAAAGAAGGGGTTGAGGTGTTTTGAGCAAATCTTATTGGTAAAGTCATGAATGTATTGCTTTTTTTTTTTTTTTTTTAAAGAATCATTTCCTTTCAGTTTTAACCATATTACTGTGTCTGCAAACAGTTTGTCAGCAGAGCAGCTTTCTGTTTTGACAATTTAGAATTGTATCTTCATCTTTGAAAAAAGACATGGTTGATGAGCTAGTTCAATTTTAAGATGTTTTACTTAGAAGATGATAGTGAAGATGAGAAGGTTCATGAAGGCTCATTAAGTAAAACTGAAGATGTTTACCATGGAAAGGCCCCTGCTGGTATTCTGGTGAGTTACATCCACCAATGTCCTAGTGACTTGTTTGCTTGCTCAGTCTGGATAATACTGAAAGAAGAGGGGAAAACACCCACCAAAAGAAAATTGACTGCCTTTTCTTTGGAAAATGTAGTGTCATAAGGGATTTTATTAACTTTTAAATGTTAGATTCCTTTCAACAAATCTTTGCCCACCTTATCTCCTGCATTCTCGCTACACCATCTTTCTACCTTTTTCCATTTATTAGTTAACAAAAACTTTCTGCCTTAAAAAAAAAAAAAAAAAATGAAGCTGATGACTTAAACTGAAAATTTTTTTTTTTAAACTGGGTTTCAAACTAACTGTATCTGGTTTCACATTCTCTTCTAAGTTTCTAGCCAAAAAATTTTTTAAATACCTAATATTTTGAAACTGGCATTTTATTCTGATATATGATGGAGAAGTGTGACTGTAGTCTTTATTCTCCTATGATTGCAAACAAACAAAAAAATTTTAAGCTTGAAATAGTGGGGAAAATGCATAATGTCTGATTTAAAAAAATATTTTTTAATTTAGAGAGTGTGTGTGTGTGTATACATATATATGTGTGTGTGTGTGTGTGTGTGTGTGTATATATATATATATATAAAAAATTTGGATGTCTGAGCTTTTTAATCTTTTAGAGTTTTCTCCCTTACAAGGTATAAAACAAGTCATATAAACTTAGGGTTAAGTTCTAGACGTCTGCATTAAGGAAACAAAATCAGGTGAATTGAAGACAATATTATTTAACTCTACCGATGGAATCTTTTCCTTTAAAAATAATCTGAAGTAAATGCAATGAAGTAAATATTATTTTTAGAAAATTAAGTGTATATGTTTTTATGAAAACAAGCATAAAATAAACAGGACAAAAATCAGTTTCTAAAATCTGTGGCTCATAATCAGATTGATTTTTTTTTTTTTTTTTAGTTAAAAAAATTTATCACCTTTAAAAACTATCACATTTTGTCTGTTTTTGCTTTTGGATCTGTTGGTAAAGGTACTTTTTCAGGGCTCTTAGGAATTGATGTAACTGGACATTGTTTGAATATGGACATCATTTGAGTATGAATGGAAGTTAGGTACAACTGAGAGGCAATTTACTCTTGAAATTTACATTTTAATAGTATAGATTATATGTATGTGTGGATTCATGCACTTTTATTGTAAAAGTCAGAAAGGAGAATAGTGAACATAGCTGATTTGAAATATTTAAAAATTTCATTTAGTGAGTAGCACTAACACAAACCACCTATCATAGGAAGTGCTTTGTAAAGGGAGGTTGATAGGTGTTTGATTAGGTTGCATTTTATTATCAGTTCCCTTTTATGGTAATGTTAGAACATTGATTCCATAGGTTACCTCCCTGCCCCAAGAGAAACTTGGATTTTCTGAATGACTAGTGTTCAGTACTACATTTGATATCTACTTAATAAGTTGTACTGATCATATAGGAGTTAGACTTTATAACTTGGGTGTGTGTAAGTGTTTGTGTGGTGAGAGGGAGAGGGCGAATCCTGGTTTTCAGGGTACAGGCCCTCAGTGACCTGGATGCTCCCTTCTAGTCATGCTGTCTGGGCATATCTCTTGTTGGAAGGTGAAAGTTTTCATCTTAATGAAGCTGATTTTATGTATTTGGAATGTAAATGTATAAATCTAATAATTTTTTTAAAAGCTATCTGTGCTTTGTTAGAAATTGAGAAAATTTTAAAAATTATGTTACCATAATTTCTAAACAAGGGAAGATAATTCCTTTATTTGGTAAGGTAAAGGCCAAAATTGTTTCATAGTCAGATACCCTGAAGTTCCTAAATAATGTACTGGCCTTATTTACCCTCACTTATTTTAAATCCCCTTGATTGCATTTTTAAAAATTAGGGCAGAATGTACTATTGAGGTTCTTAGCCAAACTTGTAATCCTAAGAAATGCTTCTAGAATTGAGTCTTTCTTTGGTTTAGAACTGGAGGAACTCAGGTTGTGGGATAGGGGGGACATCAGGCCATTCTTATTAGAGATGAGAATGAATCCCTGTTCATGAGGCAGAAGTGAGACTTGACCTTGGTTGGATCTTCACATTTCCACCAGCTACAGGGGACAGGAAGCTCTGAGGGGGCAGTGAAAGGTCAGCTGAAGGAGGAACACACCTGAGTTCAGGCAAGAGAACTTTATTGGGGAGTTACCTGCCCGGCTGACTCCTAAGACGGAGTCAGCGCCAGTATCTCTAACAAGCAGGGTTATATAGGGGATGTATGGGTGAGGGGCTGGTAGCCCTTAGAGGCAGAGGACAGTGTGATTTGGCTACTTGCGTAGGTATAACCGTAAGGAGACCAAGGGAAGTCTCCACTCCCAGGGTGATTCTGGACACCTGGCGTGGTGTTCTGGAACATTCTGTTTCTCAGAATTCTTTTCATATATCAAGGGAGTAGGGAGTTGGAGACCTTGGCATATGGAGGGAGTTGGAGACTTTGGCTGCAACCCGATCAGGCAGTGCTCTCCATCCTTGTCCCTCTGCTCTCTTTGTCAAAGGACCTGGGCACGTTGAGTCCCAAAAGGTCACTTTTCCAGAGAGAATTTTGTATTTTTATATTATTTACAGCAAGATTTAGTAACATAAACAGTGGTAGAAAATAACTAGCCACCCTGTAGGTGGAGTGTGTGGCTTGGGGCAGTGTGCTTTATACTGAGAGTTAGGAAACCCTCAGTAAGGGATGGAGTGGGGTGGAGAAGCCATCACCCCCACCCCACTTCCCAGCACATTTGTTATTACTCCCTGCTGCCCCAAATCCTAGAACAGCACTAGGTGAATGAGTCCAAAATCAAACACTTTCCTCCAACCCAGCATGGAAATGTTCACAAAACTGATTAAGAATTTAGTGGCATAGAATTTTATTTCCTCACAGAAATGTGGTGGTGTTACTAATTAGGCAGTTTGAGGGAGTAAATTCTGTTAGAATCTTTTTGTTTTCACAAATTGTTTGCCTCTTTAAATCCTGATGTCACAGATGAGCTCAGGTATTTGAGGAAGAATAATTTAGAGGCTGTGGCTAGAGTTATGTTTATGCTGTTTGAAAATTGTTATCCATTTTTATATTTGTGCCCTCATCTGTTTTCAGAAAGAAAGACTGAAAGATAGTTTACAGTTAAAACATGTCATATACAACTGCTCCACAATACGGTAGAGTGCATGACTAAACAATTTAAAGAAAACATAATTCTCTTCATTCAGCAAATATTTATTTGCCACACTGAATCTGCTAGATGCTCACATATTTTTTTGTTTGCATTTACTAAAATATCTGAATTATTTGCTGCTTTGATTTTGTGAGTAACATAACTGGATAGATATCTGTCAGATGGCTATATAAATATCACCTCTTTTAGTTTGTCCAGATACTTGGTCCTAATTACATACTCTTAGATGACTGAGCTATTTCATTCAGTTGATTAGGAAAAGCCCAGTATATAAATCTGATCCAGGTGCTAGTCAGTTTTGTGCATAGAAAATAAAAGTTGTAATCCCATCACTGTCTTTAGCCATCTCAAGAAGTCAGGTGTAGGTCTAGTCTAGAGGAATTGGACATAGTTATTTGAAAGATCTAAATAAAAACATTACCTCTCTTGGAAATACACTTAGTTTTTTATAATTTGTACAATCATACCTTAGATATTAAATATTCAAAATAAACCAGTTCTACTGAAGAATAAATTATAGACATCAATCCTAGAGTAGATAATTTTTGCATGTTGTATGTTATTTATATAATTGAAAGGGGAGAAAATAATTCTTGGTATTTTTTTTATTTTACTGTTTTGCTGCTTGTTCCAGAAAAATATATTTTTTTGTCTCTTCTTTGAAACCTATTGCATAACCTTAGAACCATTGTCTAACTTCTCTTACTTTCTTGAGACATTTGGGTAAAAGATATTTTTCAAAGGGTAGAAATAACAATATGCTGATCTTGTTTTATTATTGTTTGAACTGTGATGAAATCATGCTTAGAACTTTGTGTGCTCTTGGTGTACCATCTTAATCTTAGCCCCTGTCTGTGGAGAAAAGGCCTTCATCAGAAATTTGCCTAATTCCCAGGAAAATCCTTTAGGGAAAACTGTGTAATCTCTAGACTGTTGCTGCATTCTCTGAGATTTAGCTGAATTTCACTTGAATGCAAATAGAGAGGCTATCTTCACTTGGGTCAAGGTCAGTAGCAGAGATTATAAAAGTCATTTGTCATCTCTCTTTTCTAACAGAATGAAGTCATAACCACTCTAGACTGATACTTAGTCATAAAATTCAAATTGGAAAAGTAATTCATTCAGGGGATGTGAGGCAGGAGAGGAGCAGGAAGTATACCCTACAATACTCTTCACTCCCTGAGCACTGAGGTTTTCAAGAGGGGACTGGGAATTAATTCACTTCCTTGTGGTCATCAGACATAGTTTGATAAGCTGCTATTTTGGGGCCACTTGAGGGCTTTAAAAAGTATTTGTATCTGTAATCTGGGGGGTAGCCTGGGCATTGGGATTCCTCAGAACTCCTCAGTGATTCTAATGGCAGCCAAGGATGGTGATTCCCAAGGACATTGATTCCCAACTCTGATCACTGGAGCCCTTGCTAACCTTTAAATATAAAACTCAGATTTCCTAGACAGACTGAATTGAAGAGGGGGATAGTGGAAACCAGGAATTGTTTTGTTTTTAAAACTGAATTACAGACTTGATTCAGACATATTCAGATATTTTCAGCTGCAGTCCTTTTTCTGTTTCAGTATCCAATCCAGAATCCCACTTTGCATTTAGTTGTTATGTCACTGTAGTCTTCCAATCAGTGACAGTACCTCAGTCTTTTCTTGTCTTTCATGATCTTAATACTCTCAGTGAGTTCTGGTCAGATATTTTATAGAATTTCCCCAATTTTGAGTTTGTCTGATGTCTCCTAATTAGGTGGAAATCGTATTTTTGGCAAGAAAATCAGGGACCTGGTGTGCCCTTT